GCAGGCCCTGGAAGCCCTCAAAAGACGTGGCATAGCCTATGTTTTCGCACAGGCCGTGTCATGGGCCGAGTACGATCGCTATGTGACCAGGCTTTTTGCCCACCTTCACCGAGAAGCGCCCCCAGGGTTTGGGCGAGTGTCGGTGAGTCAGATAGTGGAAGCCGATAGGAAAGTCTTTTCCAAGCTCATTGAGCAGGATGTGAAACCCCAGAAGGCGGGGGATGGGTCGTATCCACTTGACAAAGCACTGGGTGAGGCTCTCACTTCGTACGAAGTGTCCTTTTGTTTGATGCACCTCCCCCTCAAGGGCCCCAGTGCTCCGCCAGCGCGGCCCAACAAGCGAGGTCGTGATGAGCAGCCAAGCAAAGGCCGAGGCCGTGGCCGTGCGTCCAGTAGCAAAGGCAAGGGCCACAGCAAGAGCTCGCCGTCATGGGTTTCCATCCCCAAGTTCATCCGAGACAGAGGGGGAGTGGCCTCCTTGCCAAGCGGAGAAGCAGTCTGCTTTGACTTTAACATCCATGGGGACAAGTGCAAGTGCAAGCCCGACTCCTGTCCACGCAAGCATGTGTGCGCCAAGTGCTTCGGAAACCACCCCCATTAAGGATCACAAGGAGTGACTAGGTTCTAGGGTTGTAAGTCCCGAACCCCGTGTGACCGATCCATGCACACCAATCCCTTCCAATTCGCCTCGCAATACTGAATTGGCTGGGCCTGATCAGGACGAAGTGCCAATGGCGACAGACCCCATGCAAGCCTCGCAGGAGCTGGACAATGCTTCACGCTGTCGAGGTCAATCCCATCTTTCGAGTGTCCAGGCTGTGTCCAGCCACGACAGTGCAAGCCAGCCTCTTCCGCCCATTGCGTCGCCTGAAGCCGTTGCGTCAGATATGCTTGAGCAGGAAGAAATTAACAAACAGCAACTATGTCAGTTGCTCCATTCAGTGTGCCAAGACTTCGCCAATGACTCCGAGCAGGGAAAATTCCACGCAGGCATGTACTGTCATGGTGGCATTGCAGGTTTGCGCAGGAACCGTTCAACGAGTTGATGCTTGGACGGGTGGTTGCTTGCAAC